TCCATCATTCAATAGACATCATCAGAGCTGGATGTCATTCTTGTAAAAGTCTCACGTTAACACTATCTGGCTCTATCTTCCTTCTTGTATAGACTCAATTAAGCAAAATGAAAATTAAAAACCTCGATAGACCGATATAGAGTGGTTTGGTTAATTAACTTTCATACTGGTCCTTTTACTTTTAATAGATTGTGTGCGTGTGGGTAGGTATGCGTGTTAGCGTCTATATGCAATATGGTTTCTAAATCAGAGTTGTCAAAGGTTTAATCTCAAGTTCCGATCCTCAAGACCTAATGACCCAAGAGAAAGCCTTGACCGAGACTGCGTAAGTCCGTAAACAGGAATGGTTGATATAATGAGATATGAGCTTGTAAGCATGCAGATCAAGTTACGAAACCACTTGTCCGAACCTCTCGATCTAGGGTAATTAACGTTTAACCACCCAAGAAAATGCAAGAATGGGGTTGCTTTGAGTATTTCACTTGTTTGATTGATAGACTTAAGATTATACTGAATTTTGACCACCTATCAAAAGCAGGTGGTTCAATTAATCGGCTTAATGATGGCCCTAACAAAATTAGGATTCGTTCCATCCATCTATTAAGCTTATTCATTAAAACAAACAATGTGTCTTAATTTACACACGCACAGTTGAGCATGCAAGTACTCGGAATGATATATAAAGAAATAGAGTGAGCCATTTTATATACCCTTTTTATTCGGTACTTTTTGTTTTTTTATTGTTAGATGTAGCGTGTAGGGATGACCCCGATTTAGTGTTAGATTAAATGAGATAGGTAGTTACCCTGGTAGGCATAAGCTAATGTGAGGATTGATAGTTGAATTTTTCAAGGAGATATTGGACTTTACGAATCTAGTGAATTCTATCTATCCTTGCCTTCCAAAGGATATTCGTATTCAGGTTGGACTGCAGTCTTAACCTAGCCCCACTGACTTATCAGCACCCCCAACAGGACTCGGAGTATAAAGTAAAGCGGCAACTAGTTACCGTGCTGTTACAAAAAAGAGCAAATAAAAGTTTATGGACCATAATGGCTTTTCCAAATTCACATTTATGGTGTAACGCTAATGAGAAAACTCGTATTTGTCATGTATATTCGATGAATATTGTTTGAAACTATGGGTAGTCCTTGAATAAATAACGTCAAAGTCTGTATGAAAAGCAAAATTTTGCTTGACTCCCACGTACCTAAACGTCTTAAGTAAAGAGGCCTTGTAAACCACATTTATGGTGTGGGCCAATGGCGCCTAGAGTTGTAAGGCGAAGGGTCAACGCGTTGCCAGATTACATGTACGACTTGGTTTAGAATCTCGTTATGGTTTTACTAAGACCTATTAAGATAATATGTACGTGACTATGCTACACACACAATGAGGGATTAGACGCAGTATATCATTGTCCTTTGGTGTAATTTTGCCTTTTCATTTGGAAGAGGTGGTTGCCGAAGGCCTTATAAATTTCTTCATGATTCGGGCATCAGCATAACTGGATTTACATGCATATGTACCGGATATGGATTTATTTATTAATTAATCTATTTTTTTTTTATCCTTCTCAAGGCATTCGATCACGGGGAGCCTTCCCTACAAACGTCGGGTGCGCTTCGAATTCTTGTCATGCCGCCGCTTCTCGGAGACGGGCAGAGTTCAGACAGCCTCAATCGTTTTACCATGAATCTCTTTCCCGCTTTCGGTCAGGACGGTGCTGCCTCCTCGTCCAGAAGGGAGGCCAACTATCGCCAGGACTCCAGTGCCATTCTGCCCACATTCGACTCAGCCTCGTTCTCCTTGTCCTCGTTTGCATCCTCCTCCTCAGCCGGGGCTACGGAAACCGGTCTCTCCGACGAAGCTCTGCCCGACTTGACCGGACTGGGTGCAATTCTCGCTTTAATCTGTGCCGTCGGAGTGTTCGTCTGCCTTCTGCTCTTGGTTACCGTGACGGTGATGTGTCGCCGAAGGAAACGTCAATTCCGACTCCACCAACTGCATCCGGCCAATGAGTCGAGCCGTCTCGCAGGCGCATCACCACATGCGCCTCACACCACTTCAATCTCGGGTCTGACACCATCGCTGCGGAGGCAGCAGTCCATTTCGCCGGCTTGTCTGGTCCCAACTGACGAATTGGCGCCCGGTCTGGTGTCCGGCTTTGTCGACTCCTTCTTGAAACCGGGTCTATCCACTCCGATACATCTGCCCGCCAGTTACCTGGTCGACCCGGTCACCAGACTGGACCAAGTGGGCCTTATTGGTCTGCTCGAGCCCTCGCCATTGACGGCACCAACTTCCGCAATCTCGGACCTCTCGTCGCCTCCAACTCGGCCTCAACGACAGGCCTCTTTTCATCACCTCACCCAACTGCAGGCTCATGTGAAACCGCACAGCCTACAGCACCAACAACAGCGGCAGAACCAATCAACCTTCAATCCTCACTCGTTCAACCGATGTCTCTCTTCACCTACCGCCAACCTAGGCCGTGAGATCGGTGCTGTCGGAGAGGTGGGTTTATTCACAAAAATTGTCGACGCTAATCCACCAGCCGCTCTGCTCTTCAATCTCCCACCACAACACTCGCCCACGTCCAACATGGAAAGTATGCATCGGCCGGGCTGTTCAAGCGAGCAACTCTTCAATGACTACACTCCACTGACGACCGAGTTCAGATGTACAGTCTCGTCTCACCTCCACTCGGACCGAACGGGCTCAGGGCCTTCGAACACTTGGCAACCGGCCGACCAGCCCAGCGTGAATGAAGCAGACTCACAATTCGGGCTTAAAGAAAAGCACGACAGACGCGAAGAAGACTGCGCCGCAGGCCAATCGTTGTCGGGGCAACCTGTCGACAGGCATCATGTGGAAGAGGGCCAATCGATTGGCGAGAGAAGTGGACATTTGCCCAACCAACCGTCCGATCTGACAACCACCATGACCACCTTCAATCAACAAACACAGAATGCCATCGAAGCTGTTCGAAGTATGTATTATCTACTGCCAATGTAATTTTTTCCCTAACACCTACGCATGAGCCTTTAACGGAATCCGAATGTGGATGCAGAATGTAGACTTTCGTCGCGCGGAACATTCCATGCTGAGCTGTTGGCAGTGTTCCAGGCGGAATCTCGTCTCTGAGGCCACTGGCGCTCGGACAGCGGGTCAAGTGGTAGCACATGCTGTCGATAGAAGTGCAGGGCGTCAGTTTGTCTCCGGTTGGGCTGTGCACATGCGGCCCTGTTCGAGGTCTGGACTGAGATCCCTCCTGACACAAGCAATTGTGAGAGAAACGGTCAACACCAAAACGCCAGGGGCGATTCGGGCCTGGGAGCATGAGACCTCTACTCGGTTGCTATACATCCATTGTGCTGTCTCTCGGGCCAGAAGCCTGTTGCTTTCAAAATTATAAAGGAATTTGTCTTCTTCCTCTTATGCTCATGTGCAATGTGGTTTGTCCAAATGTGTACGAGTCTTTACAGCAAATGCAGGCGAAATTTAGAGTTGGTAAGGCCAATAACCAAATGCGTTAGTCTCCACGGACATTGGGGTTGTGCTTCTCTGATGCTAGTCGACTACTACATGCTGTCTGGTTGCCGAGGGCGCTTGTGAATGGACTGTTTATTCTACACCAGAATTCATCTTCTGGGTGGCCTCAT